TTGCCGGGAGGAAATGGTAGGACAGAGTTTCTTTGACTTTGCTGGAGATCCTCTCGATTTTAGACACTGTGTCTTAAACTCAATCCAAAGTCAGACAGCTGGCCAGGCAGGCAGCTTGATCATCCTGATCCTCTGAAGCAGAGACCATGAGTCACAGGTTCCATTTCCCAGGAAGTTCTTTTGCACTGATGAACCTCCGTAGGAGGCCCCCATATCTGCAGTTTCCCTGCTGCCTCCTGGGGCTCTCAGAGCTTAACGTGGGGCATCTTTGGACCTGGGGGGGGTTGTGCTGCTCTAAAGGATGTGCTGCAGACAGGCCCAGTCGGACCACCATCACACAGGAACAGGAGGTCTCTGACCTCCTTGGGTTACCCTCCCCAGCCCCCAGCTGTTTATCCCGCTGTGACTCTGTGGGCATCGAAAGGTTAGGGCCTCCATCATGGGCCTAAAGGAGCCCTTTCCTGAGGCGCCCTGTGTAATCCGCACCAGCCGGTGTCTGAGTCTCCTCGCCACGTGGTGCTGAAACAGAGCCAAGCGACTGCAGAGCAGTGCCTGCTTATTTATACACATGACTCTGATGGGAGAGAACAGAATCCATGAGGCAAACCTGGAGGCCAGAGGCGAAGTGGGACTCAGGTTAAGAAGCAAGATCTCGATGGCCAGAGCACATCATGTGGACAGCCTGGAGAAAATCTGATGGACCCCATACCGCACAAGAGTGAGCTCTAGATCCACCTCTGGTTATCCACCCATCTTCTGCCTGCTTTCTCCAATTCAGGGTCACAGGGGATCCAAACCCTATCCCAGTAGGCAATGGACACAAGACAGGGTACACCTTGGATAAGATGCCAGTCCCTCGTAGGGCGCACACAAACACACGAGGGCCAGTTTTCCCAGGAGCCAATTAGAAGCATTTCTTTGGACTGTGGGAAGAACTGGAACACGTGGAGGAACCCCACATGAACACTAGGAGAACATGCAGACTCCTCACAGATTGAACCCAGGGCCCCAGCATTGCAAGGTAGCAGTGCTAACCACTGCGCCACTGTGCCGCCCACACTCTTTCGGTTGTTCGGAGACTTGCAACACAGGATTGCAGAAGGCACAGCCCTGCTGTCTTTGTTGTGTTTGGGATGGGATGGGCAAGCAATGCCAGCGCCGAGGCTTGGTGCTTTGCACAGACAGAGCCGAGGAGGAACGCGGCTTTTCTTCCAAAAGCGCGCGCCAGTCATGGGAATGCCTTGCGGAGCTCCCTCGTCCAGGCTGAGACGGTGCAGCTCAGCCGTGACATGGCGGATGTGGAAAGTTCAAGGGCCCGGACTGGCGATCGCAGTCTACCAGAAAATCACCAGCAGTCGTGCCGGAGAGGTTCGCTTCCTCCAGATTCTCATTGCAGATGGAGAACCTTTGAGCCCATGCATGCTGCCCCAGGGGTGCAAGGATCTGAGTGCTCTGGGGGGGGGAGTAGAGTTGAAGTGCAGCCTGGGGTGGTGAGTAATCAGACAGGCTTGTGAGAACCAGCACCAGAGCCATCTGTGGTTAAATCTAATAGCATATTGCCACATTCCTGCGTGATTTCCCATCAGCATAGCCCCCCTCCCTCCCCACCGAGCCTCCACAGGCCCTGCACATTCCCATGCACTCGTCAATACCGGGTGAGACAAGCTAACCACAACCAACGGACCTGCATTCTTCAGCTGCTCGGGCAGAAACAGAAGCCCGGGGCCTGCGCACAGGAGCCAGAGTTTGAAAAACAATAGCCCCCTTTCATGGCGTCTCAGTGGTCCAAGCCGGGAGCCAGGGACGGCCTGCAGCAGCAGGTGAATCACGCCTGTTTACCGCCACCTACAGCTCAGGCTCAAAGAGAGGTCCCACTGATATCTCTCGAGTGCAAAGTTTGCCTTTTACTGCAGAGCACAAACACGATGACTAGGAGGCAGTGGGAAGGAACAGATCCGAGTGAGGTGGGAGGACTGGCAGGAACATTTCAAAATTCAGATAGCTTCTTTTTTTCTGGGGCTTAAAAACATTAAAGGTCACATTGATTCAGGATTGTGCTACCACTGCTGTCATTTGCTTGCTAATAGTTTTGTAAATTTAGCTTTTGCAAGAATGATATGTGCAATTAGGCTTTCAGAACTACCCTTCACTTTGCCTTAGCCAAAGTTTAATTTATTTGGTTAACACTTATCCACCAGTGCTCCCATTACAACAGCTAGCCATTTTACTGGAGCAAGGAAAATGAAGTACTGTACCTTGCTCATGGGTACGACAGCTGTGCCACCACCCTAGGATTTGAACCCACAACCTCCCACCTACAAGTTTAAAGCCCTGGCCATTCCTCTCACACCTAGAAATATATTTTCTGACAAGTCATGTTCTAATCATAATTTGGTCCCTGCAGCTTATTTTTAAGTCCTACATACAAAAACTGAACAGACTCAATCAGATATGACATAAGTAAATCCATTATGCTGATTAACATGTAGACATGTGGCACAGCATAACAGCCATGTTCTCAATTTGCAAGAAAGTCATTCTCACACGAGCAGTGGGAGGAGGTACCCATGTCATGCTGGAATGTCGTCACACCAGGATGAACAGGAATTGAGCGTGAGACCCTTGTCCCAGCTCATCCCACACATTCAGTGGGGCTCAGTTCATGGAATTATGGTGTCCGCAGCATAACTGTCACATTACCACAGTGCAAGACTATTGTTGTTACACTAGAAGCTTAAAGAACACATTATCCTGTTGGAATGTTATCATAGCAGGATGAGCCCACAGAGAGGGCAGCAGGAGAGTCCCAGAACTGGATCAGTGTAGCATCCCACAGTCAGGATCATGCCATCAAGCACTATAAGTGGAGATCTGTAACAACTAGATACTTGGCCCTCCCCATTGACTGGTCTGTTGTAAACACCAGCTGTCTGTGCCACCAGGGGTGGTGCGGTGGCTCTGTGGCTAAGGATCTGCGCCTGTGGCTGGTAAGTTGCCGGTTTGTTTCCAACAGCCAGCAGATGAATCTTACTCTGTTGGGCCCCTGAGCAAGGCCCTTAACCCCAGCTGCTCCAGGGGCGCTGTATAAATGGCTGACCCTGCGCTCTGACCCCAAGCTTTTCTTCCTGTCTGTGTGTCTCATGGAGAGCAAGTTGAGGTATACAAATAAAGGCAAATTCCTAATACAAGAAATTGTATATGGCCAATAAAGTGATCTCGTATGTGCTGAAGCCCGTCAGCCTGGTCCACACGATATTGATTCATCGCTACAGAGGACCAGGCTCTGCTCCTGGACGGTCCAGGTGAGGTGTTGCTCATGAAGCTGGGTCTGGTCAGTTCTGGGATGGGAGTCCTCTAAGGAGAACCAGATTGCTGCCATAAGTGGTGTTGGTGGATCAGCAGTTGATGCTCTTCCATCTGGAGCAAGATTTTCAAATTAATTCTCCAGTATGGGTACAGGGAACACTAGATTGTAGGAGGAGACATTAAGCCAAGGTCCTGACTACTTGGTGATTAAAGTTCTCGTGGTACTGTCAGTTCTGGTGACCTGACCAAATTTCACTCTGGGTTTCCAAAATCTGGCCTCCTACAGTCAAACAGAAACACTTTTCATCCAAGACATGGTGCTTTGTGCAGCATCGCAGTTAAGAGGCTGATGGACGTGAATCACCTTATTGTTCTAACGTTTTCCATCCCTGAATCCCTGCTCTCAGGACAGCGCTGTGATGATGCTCTGGAATTGGTACATTGGGAAACCTTTTGGCTTTGGGATGGGATAGCAGTGCCAGCTCCAAGCCTGCAGAGCTGTCAGATCGGTGCTTTGCACAGACAGAACTCGGCTTTTCTTCCAAATTGCGCACCAGTCGTGGGAATGCCTGCAGAGCTCCCCCTGCAGGCATTCAGAGACTCAGAGACTCAGATCAGCCGTGGCAGTGTATTGTCGGCGAATGAGCTCCCCCTACTGGTTGTTGTTGCAATACTTGGTTTTTTGTAAACACCTGTCATGCTGTGATGGTATTAAATTAGCCAGAAACATTACACACAAAAATATTCGCTATACCTTAATCCGTGTGCATATATCAGTCAACTGAATAGTACTGTTTATTCCATGCTGAAAAGAGAAGAGAGAAAACACGTTTCGGCTGTGAAGCCACCTTGAGGTGTGAGCTATACAGGTTAAGTGAAAGAGAGGGGCAAGTTGCTCAGGGAGGAACGACAAAAAGATCTAAGAGCTCACACCTGAAGAAGGCTTCACAGCTCAAATGTTGTTTTCTCTCTTCTCTTTTCAGCATGGAATAAACCTATTACTTGTTCCTTTGCAGGCTAGGCCTGCTGACGCAGCTACCCACCTGAATAGTACTGTGCTTTTTATAGTTCTGTTGTAGTCCACAGATTACAGACAGAAAACCCAGATGTTTAGGAAAGCTAATAATTTTTCAAATGCAGTGCGATTAATTTGAAGTATTGAAACCGGTACTATACAACTGGAACAACATCTGAAAAGCCCACAGCTTCAACAGGACTCCTTCAAGGGAAAACGTTTCCTTGTGCAAGTTAAAAACAGCCATCATCCGTCTTCCTTTAAAGCCAAACAGACCATAATGGACCCATGTATCAGTTCTTCTTTTAATCTGTAAATGGCACTACAAGATGTCTGGTGCCAGTAGTTATGGATCACTGTTGCCATCTCAGCAGAGTCCTGGGGAGAGCAGCCTGTTTCCTCTGCATAAGATCTTCTAGTTTCACGTGTTACATCACTTTTAACTCAATACTCGTCCCAGTCTCAGAAGAATATGCACTGGACACAGCACCACATACCAGAGACAAAGAGACGTATCAGGTGACTCTGTAATGAAAGGTTTTTTATTTCTTTACACAAAAAGGCTGAGACAGGCCTGTGCTGTCCTGTTGCATGAATGCAGAGTAAGCCCTGTGAGGGCGTGTGGAGATGAGCTAGCCTTTCGTCTTGTGATGTCTTGTGTGTCTCTTTGTTTGAACAGGGAGCTGGAGACAGCTTCATTGGAGCCTTGGCCTTTTACATGGCTCGCTACCCCACAATGCCTGTGGAGGAAATGGCCAGGAGAGCCAATCAGGTTGCAGCAGTGAGCGTGCAGGCAGCAGGGACACAGACATCCTACCCGTCCAGATGTGACTTGCCTGCGGAGCTCTTCCAAGCTGGGAAGTGAAAACCTCCAAGAAAATTGGCCCATTTAGTTTGATTAGTACTGTAGATAATCTGATCTCAGACACTTGTTTACAGAAAGAAACCAAGGTATCAGTTTTAATGACATATCAGGGTAGCTTTTTCCACACTCTCACAACTTTTTGTTCAAAAAAGCACCTCCCATACTCAGCACCTCACTCCATTCCTACTCCAACACTTCTGTGACAAGTGAAATATGCATTTTCTTTAAATGCAGCTGACATAAAAATATCCTGAAAATACAACCATTGCACCTCCAAAGTCTTCTTTTAGAGTTGTACTGTATATGGGTGAGGACTCAGAGGTTAGGAAGGAAACAAGTTAAGATTTCTTTAAATAATGTAATGAAATAATCATTCGGGGCCTTTATAATAGAATACTGTCCAGCTCTTCGAAATTGTATAAGGAACTATGATTACTTATTGATACATCCTTCACTGTGAAAACCTTCCTTGCTTTTCACAAATAACGAAGAATGATGAACTATCTTGAGTCAAGATTAAATAGTTCTAACTTTCTTGTTGCCTTGAATTATTGCCTCTGTTTTAGGAGTAAAACTAGACGGCTGGTGTGCGAGTGTGAGGCAGGAAAGACTTCTTTCATCATCAGTATCCCGCCACAAGTTAAGCCCACAGAACAAAGCCTTCTGTATTCCTCACAGGTGTGGCAGTGAAACTTCTTGGACTTTACTCTGCAGCACATAGTGAGCCATTAACCAAAACATGCAGACAATTCTTTTAAAGGCCTATCAATTCAATTTGTTTTTATGACTCCAAAGGGGCCCCTTTTTTTGCCTTTTTTTTTCCCGGGGGGTTTGTTGGAAGGGAGGTTTTTGGGTTTTTCTTTGGGTTTTTTTTTTCTTTCTTTTTTTTTGGGGGAGGTTCGTTCAGGTTTGAAAGGGGGGTTAGTTTTGATTTTTTTTTTGTTAAAGCCCTGGGCTTGGAATATCTTAAAATAATTCTGGGTATCTCAACCACCTTTTCAAGAGCCTATGTTAAGGTCCAGGCTTCAGCTGGGATGCTTGGAGAGTCAACAGAAACAAACAGAGCATGTCTATTTTATTAACCTTAAATATATATGTTAACACACCTGCATTTATGAACTACCTGATACCTTTAATCAGAGTAACTTAGTTTTACACATTGACACAGCATGGCCTTTTACAGAAGAGATTGGGAATGAAGTGGCTAACCCAGGCTTTGAATCCACCGCCATGTAATTAAAAGTCCCAACCACTTGTCCACCCAACTGCACAAGGTCACCGTAATGTGCACTTCAGCAATCCAGCTGCACCAATACTTCCTGAACTAATTCCTTTTAGCATGTCTGCATCATTTCACAAGCAACAGTGGAAACAGGTGCTTCATTATTGAGTAATAAGTGGCATTCACTGCCTTGGCCAAACAAGACCAGACCAGTTGACTACAGAGTGACGCCTTCAGTTTGAATCTAGGTACGTCACTATTTTGTGCCCACAAAGTCTGACAAACATGGTAAGACACACTGGTGAATAACTCAACCTGCTAGGACAGAAACTCTTTAAACCATCTATTGTATCATTTGGAGGGGCCAGGTGTACAGCTGTCAACAGGTCACCATGCCCCTTATTGTCTAGAGTGTTTGCAACTCTCATGTATTGTAGGAATTACATGCGTTTAGGATTTAAGCCACAGAGATTCTCGAGATCACTAACTACCACAAAACAAAGTGATAAATATCACTGCAAGAAAACAGTGACGAGATTTAACACAAGCTTTTATTCAAGCAATGCCCAGTATCCAATCTGTGTCAACCCAAAGATAATCAGAGATCAAGGTGGTCTCAGCATACAAGATAAGGTCAGCTAGAAAAATCGACTGAGTAAAGGAAACCTGCTGATCGTCTGCCCACCAACTGAATGGGCCAAGGACATGCAAACACTTTCACAGTCTGCTTCCTATGCCAGTGATCGTGATGTTAAGGTGTGTTTTGTTTTTTTAATCCCTTGGGTTTATGGATAGTATTCTGGAATCATGGCTGCAACTTCTACCCATTATTACATAAACAATAAGTATTTCAAAAGCATGTTCCCCTTATGAGAGCAGCTGTGCTATAAGCAATTCAAGGAAACCTCTGTCATGTTTTCCCACGCTGTATTT